CTCTCCCCCTCTCCCCCTCTCCCTCCCACCCCTTGGTATTGAATGCAGGGCTGCAATCATGAGTGTTCTACCACTGAGCTATATATCACCACTCCTTAACATTTCAGAAAATTCTTAAGCAGTACAAGCTTTCTAATGAAAAATCAAATTGTATAATAAAGCAAAAACTGTTTAGAATGCCCAGAGATAATTGTTATTAACACCTTGGTATATGTAGATGTGTATTTATGTTTGTTGATGATTTAATAATTTATCTAACATTTCCCTTTGAATTTATCATGAATAGGAAATCCACCTGACACCATCCACTGACTTCTATAAGAAATTAGCCTTGGACTGTTCTGGTCAGCAGGTAGCTGTTGACTTATTTCTTCTCAGTGGACAGTATTCTGACTTGGCTTCACTAGGTAAATACTTCCTAATGACCTTTTTTTCCCTAAATATCAAAATGGTAGCTGGGTATGGTGGCGCATGCCTGTAATCTCAGTGCTTGGGAGGCTGAGGCAGGAGGATCTTGTGAGTTTGAGACCATCCTGGGCTACATAGTTGAGTTCCAGATCAGTCTCAATTACATAGTGAGACCCTGTTTCGTAAAAAACAAGATAAAATAATTTTTATTCCTTGGGAGAGTGAATCAGTCAGATTTTGTTTTGTTTTGAGCTGTGGCCTTGCTGTGTTGCCCAGGCTGATCTAAGTGGTCATCCCACTTAGACCTCCCAAATAGCTGCAGCTGTAGACATGTGCTGCCTTTCCCCTCTCCCACTGCCTGGCTGATCAGACAGGTTTTGTTTTGTTCTATTAGTGTTGCTGAGAATTGAACCCAGGACGTTGTGCATGGTAGGCAAGCACTTTACCAGCTGAGCCATGCCCTCAGCCCTTAATCATCCACTTTAGTCTATTAATAAACCTTATAACCTCCTCTAATTTAGGGAAAGAGAAATAGAGAAATTTGTGTACTACTGTGTAAAGGAATGGAGTATTCTTTTATATGGTATCTTAAAGAAGTTAAACAAAAACTTGAGTCTAATTCCTGCCATTACTTTGGCATAGTAAAAGGTGAAATTTTATGGCATATGAAGAGAATTTCGTGTCTGGCATTGTGATAGTAGTTGATGGCACTACTTAAAAAGAGATGTGTGTCCTCTTCCAGGGTGTATTTCTCGGTACTCAGCAGGCAGTGTCTATTACTATCCATCTTACCATCATCAGCACAACCCTGTGCAGGTGCAGAAATTACAGAAGGAGCTGCAGAGGTACCTCACGCGGAAGATTGGCTTTGAGGCAGTCATGAGGATTCGGTGTACCAAAGGTGGGAAGCCTTTGCTTTTAATAAAGTAATAATACTGTTTTATTTTGGCAGGGGGGCACAAAGCAGGAATAATACTGTTTTTCATGCCAATAAATGTACCTGTCTTCATCTAGTCTTATCTTATAAAACTTGCCTTTTTAAGATGCTTTGCTGACTCTACAGTATGTAATTAAGAGAGAAGATACACTATTAAAAAACAGGGAAGGACCAGAGATTTAGCTCAGTGGTTCTGCTGCCTGCCTCACAAGTGAAAGGACCCAAGTTCAATCCCTGGTACAAAACAAAACAAAATGCAAAAAACACACAAAAAAACAGGGAATATTGTGAATGTATTAAAAACTACTGAACCAAACACTTAACTGTTGAATTTTATGGCCTGTGAATTATCTTTTTTTTTTTTTAATACAAAGACCATATTTTCAACAAGAATAAAACTTACTTACTAATGCATTTTTATTCTCCCTATTGAGCAGTAGATCTTTTTGTTTCCCCTTGAGATGAGGTCTTACAGGTATCCCAAACTGCTCTTGCACTCCCCTCAGCCTCTCAAGTAGCTGGGAACACAGGTATTTACTACCGTACCTGACTTCATTATTTTAATCGAACAATTATTTGCATTAAAAAAAACTATAGTAAAATACACATAAAATTTACCATTTTTAACCTGCCTTTAAGATGGACATGGTGGCACATGTATGTAATCCCAGTACTCTGGAGTGCACGGCAGGAGGATCGCCAAGAGTTTGAGGTCAGTCTGAACTACATAGTGAAGACTCTGTCTAAAATTTCTTTTTTAAAAATTACCATTTTAATCTACTTTTAAACAATTAAAAAATTTTTTTATTGCAGTGCTAGGGATCAAACAGGACTTGACACACGCTAGGCAAACACTCTGCCCTTGAGCTTACATCCTTACTCCCTTCACATTTTTATTTGTACAGTTCAGTGACATTGAGTGCATTTTCATTTTTTTACAAGCACTAACACTGTCTGTGTCCAGAGTCAGAGACTGGGAGATCTTTTAATTTGTGTTTTCCTTCTCCACATTTCATTTCTTCACATTATCAGCTTGTAGATTATTTTTTTGTTCTGGTGGTACTGGGGATTGAACGCTTTGGTTTTCGCACATGCTGGGCAAATGCCCTCCCATTTAGCTACACTCCCAGACCTCCACTTTTTAAATTTATATATGGCGATATTTTTATTCTATGATGGGGTATGAGGCAATCTTTTTTTAGGTTGGAGAAGCTTTATGAAATATGGCTGGGGATTTAGCTCAGTGATGCTGTGCCTTCCTCACAAATGCAAGGTCCTGAGTTTGATTCCTAGTACCGGGGGTTGGGGGAAGGTAGTTTTCTGAAATACATACAAGACAAAAGATAAAGACCTACTAATCCGTTGTATTTTGAAATTTATTGGTCAAACTATGTGCCACACAGAATTTTCTGTTATCCATCCCTATAATAATGCAGCCTTTTATTCTAATTGCTTCTCTGTGTTTGTTTCTTGTTTTAAAAAAAATAATTTCTTTCTTTATGTATTTGGTGTGCAGGCCTGACATGCTGGGCGAGCACTCTGCTACTGAGCTACATCCCTAGTCCTTTTTAAAATTATTACTGTTTTATTTGGTTCTGGGGATAGAACTCAGGACCTTGCTCTTGCAAGGCAGGCAGCAGCACCACTAAGCTAAACCCCCAGCCTCTTTATTTTTTGTTTTGAGACAGGTCTTCACTGAGTTGCTCAGATTGTCTTCAGACTTGTAATTTTCCTGACTCACCCTCCCAAGTAGCTGAACCTGTTTTTTTTATTATTATTATTAATTTTTTTGGTACCAGGGATAGAACTTGGGTCCCTGCGCTTGCGAAGCAGGTGCTGGAACCACTGAACCAAATCCTGGGCCCTTGAACCTGGTTTTAAAATTTTTTTTCTTGCAAGGTTTTGCTCTGTAGCTAGTGTGACCTTGAACTTGCAGCCGTTCTCATGCCTCAGGCTTTTGAGGACTGAGATTACAAGTTTGTACCACCATGCCCAGCTTAAAAAACTTTTTTAAAACTACACCTTGCAGAACTTTTTTTTTGGCACCAGGGGTTGAACTCAGGACCATGTGCTTGTGAGGCAGGTGCAGTGCCACTGAGCTAAATCCCTGGCCATAAAGTTGACTTTTATTTCACAAGCAATATATGCACCTGTTGCTCTTCTAAAAAATAAATTATTACTAAAGCTAAATATATGTATGTGTTCCTGTAAAGGTACAAGATCCCAGTGATGAACGTAACTGTATTGTATACCTAAATTGTACCAATAAACTTAATGGAAAAAATAAATAAATTGACCCGCACAAGTAAATGTATGTATATGTGGGTACATATGACAAACACATTTCCACTCCATCATCTTGTGGTTACTCTAACCACTTTGCTGTGTGTTGTCTAAACTCTTCTTGCTATCTCATAAGTGACTAGGACAAAATGTAAATACCCATATGGAAGTCCATGAAAACCACTTTGATAATTTCTTTTTTCCTAGGTCTTTCCATTCATACTTTCCATGGGAATTTCTTTGTTCGGTCAACGGACTTGTTATCTCTGCCCAACGTCAACCCAGATGCTGGATATGCAGTACAGATGTCAGTGGAAGAGACTCTTACTGACACTCAGTTGGTTTCTTTTCAGTCAGCACTCTTGTATACGTCAAGCAAAGGTAAATTTTTGTTAGTTTTTATTGTATAAAAAATAGAAGTTAAGATCTACCTTCTTAAAATTTTAAGTGTACAACACAGTATTCTAACCACAATATTACAATAAACAGTATTCTGGCTTATATTTTGTGGTCATGATAAACTTTTCCTTGGAGGTAATTACTAATTTGTAACAAATGAGAAAGTATTCATAATTGATCAGCCTAGCCACCCCCCCCTCACACCACA